GTTTTTCTAGCTCATCCATCATCGTTGACATGCTGCTAACCAGCATGTAAATTTAGACAGTGATCAAATTACCCCATGTGAATTATGTTGTGGGCACTTATGATCAACAAATCAGAAGATAACATGAGAAAATACAAAATGCGTGCAGGCATAAATTGTTTTATATACTCCAGCTTTGAGTAAATGTAACCAACCAAAACAACTGAGGCCTTGTGAGAAATTTGTGTGACTACAAATGTTACAGAGAGAACGACAGTCTACAGTCAAGCTTCCCTTTAGACTTTACAGACTATAAATACAGTAGACTTATTTCTAATCCTACGCCTGCCTAATTGTGTCACCATATGCATAGATTTCAAGGCACATCAGGGGACACATAGCCTTTATCTTTAGAAAACATGCCAGATAACTGAGGTGTACATGATCTAAAGCAATCATTGCAAAAAAAGGTGTTTAAGTGTAAACTTTACAGCATGTTCCACGAACGCCAGGATATCCAGGTATCCCAGGAAATCCTCGCTCCCCTGCAGAATAGATAAACAGGTAGTGAGCCAGCTAAAGGTGCTTGTGGCTTCAAAATCAAATATATTTGTCTGTCCAAATAAAAAATAAATGACCTAAATTTAGTTCGAAATTACATCCTTTAAAATACTGCTAGAATGAAGTAATAACATCGGTTATTTTGACCTTTAGTCCCCGGTAATCCAGGAATACCATCTCGTCCAGGTGGTCCTATCATCCCAGGAAACCCAGGATATCCGGGATCTCCTTTTTCACCTTTTTGACCTGGAGGACCAGGAGGCTGACTGAAGCTGACAGTGGCCATCAAGCAGATGACGGAGAATAAGAGAAGCAGTCTCATCTTCGTAGTTCAGAACTGAAATTTTGGTTAAATATAGTATTAAGTTTTCCATATAAAAGCAATGTAGCCCTAACCCTCAAATGGAAGAATGATAAATATTCCAATTATAGACATTCTTTATGCAGAAATTGCTAAATTTAATTAATTTTTTCTAGCTAGCGTGTTGTACTTCTTTATCTTTGTTGTTTTAAAGTGTTTTCAAGAGTTAAAACCATTTGGAAGCACAAAATTTAGTACAATACAGAGATAAACAGGAGAGAACTCACCCCACCAACGAGAAGTGATGTGCTGGGCGTACTGCTTCTTTGCTGCTTCCACAGAAAAAGAACTGAGATATTTGCTAGAAGTAATGTGGGAGGGATTCAGTCCACAGTAAGCAGCTGGAACATCTCATTAGGGATTGTCCATTAACCTCCCTCCTTTCAAACCAAAAAAAGGCCACTGTGTTGTGATACCTTAAAGACTCTATGAATCTAAACATGAGAATACGGATTTGATGTAGTTATGAGTGAATGCAGAAATGATAACGTTTGACTTTATGAGGCACAAACAGTTTCTGCCACTTAACATAAAAGGCAACTCCCTGTACAAAACTCAATTTCAAAAAGAATTGTGCTCATTTTGACTACACAATCATCACTATAAGATTAAAACATGAGTGCATTATTGTTTTAAAGCTCTCTTAAAATTGACAGACTTAAAAAGACGAAGTTCAACATTTAAGATTAATAACTCAGTTGACACTGAATTGTTTGAAACACATATTTAAAGGAAATTTAACAGCAATTGAATGTTTAAAATAGTACACTGAGATGTTGCAGAGGTTGTGTGCAATGTAAATATTTCATTACGTTCACTTCTTAATGAAAAACTACAAACACTGTGAATCAGACTTTTGCAGAATCACCTTTAGCAGCAATAATTTGAACAAAGCATCCTCTGTATGATTTCATCAGGCTCTCTCATAATTGTAGAGGAATTTTGGTACATTTGATTAGCAGCATATGGCTGCTACTTGTCCTCTTAACTCCCATGGAAGCATTAGGGATGTGCTTAAAAGACTCTAGGGAAGAAGTCAAAATACAAATAAGCATTGCTATGTTGGGTGGACCTCCTTTTTGCTCATTCCACAGAAAAATAGCTGAGATATTAGACAGACCTCCATATAAACAACAGCTGCATACTCTCATATGGGAACTGGGAGTTGGATTAGTGTGTGTGTGTGTGTGTGTGTGGGGGGGGGGCATCTTTAGCAACGAATATAACAGCACATACCTTTATTTATATGAAGATTTTACAACCTCTTTTTTGATCTCTGATATTATGAAGTTATGATAACACCTCAGTTTTATTCCCAAGTATGTTAATATTTCTTTCCAGTTTTTCAACCACAAGTACAGTATTGCGTTCGCAAAAAGCAAACACCAATCAGCTGAAAAGGCTTTTATGTAGAAATGCACAATATATGATGTTTTTATAGGAAAACACTACATAAGTGTTCAAAGCACCCTTTGGAAAAAATTAAACAATATCTTCAAATGGCATTTTCTGGGACTGCATTATAACCATGTGAATAATACTTTAATACCTACTTTCACTAGTTCATGATTAGAATGCCATACTTACAAAATTTGTTTCTATTGCAGTTCAATGTTTAATTCTTTATACATTTATTATTATATTTATAGAATTATGAAGATGGAGACAGAAAAAGGCTTTTGTCTAACATAAAGACACTGACATATAGAAGAAAGCACAATAGTGATGCAAAAGCATTTATTTGAAACCATGAAGAGTTAGCTTAGATGATTTATTGACAATACATCAGTCAAGCATCAGAATAACTGACTTAAACTTGGGTCTGTGAGATAATAGTTATTCCTATTACAATGCATTCATGAATTCATTGCCATTGGGAGTTTCACTTCAGTTGGTCAACTGAGAATCGTTAGTCTCATTTTTAATACTACAAAGTTTTCTTTCTTCCACAAAATGCAGCCCTGATGCTTTACCCATAATTCATAAACAACTGCAAGCTTAGATTTTTTCTTCCATTGGGGTAAATGAGAACATTTCTCTACATGAAATATAAGAAATAAAAATGCAATAAAAATGTTGAGATAAACATGATAGTGGGGGGAAATTGCCAAAAGCAAGATTCGCAAGGAACCGGGATTTTTCTATAACTGACAAATGATGTAAGCGTTCATCGAACATTCTGGTGTAACTTGCCAGATGCCGTTTTCTGACAGCATGGTGCAGCCTGTATCTTGGATGGATTTGTCTGGCTGACCTTCTCCCCACTTGGTAAATGTCAGACGTTGGTTTTTCATATCCACCTCAAAATTTCCCTCTGCCTTTTTGTTGTTGACACTGATCCAAGCTGCCTTGTAAACGTCGCCAAACACTTGAGTCAGTGCGTTGTTCTCCTCCTCGTTCTGGGGCAGAGCCAACTCTATGTGTTGTTGGGAGCAGAATTCGACAGCCCTGGAGAAAGAGCCTCTCTCCTTGTTGGACACAAAGTATTTCTGACCAACTCTCCGGACAAAATGATAGTTAATGGCTAGAGAACACAAAAATGTCAGGGAACAAACTGTGACTCAGAAATCATTATCAACAAAGGTAAATAAGCAATTAGGAAACAATGAATAAAGCTTCATCTACATGGTGCATTTGTCATAGTTAGATACAAGAAAGGCAAGTAAAATCAAATTTTAAGAACACAGAGCTTGTAGGAACAAGATCACACACCATACCCAAAATCTCTGGAGGCTTCTAAATGAATATGCTAACTGTTAATCAACTAACTTTTCTAATGTTGATCAAGTTGTAACATCAGGCAAAAACACTGGATTTTTTGTAAATTGCAACAACAAATTATTAACGGATGGTCTTTGAAAGAGTTTTAAATAATTAATAATGCCTTGATGATGATACTTACCCAGTTCTAACTCAGCAAGTCTGCTTTTTAAGGTTTGAACATCTGGGCAACTGGATTCAACTGTAGCTGAAATTAAATTGTGAGCATACAACAGGAATGAAAGGAGCTGTGTGGTCTATTTTTCTTTTAAATTACAGAGCATCAACTAATTCACTGTGCAATCTGTCATCAAACTGATCTTGTGCTGTCTGACACAGATTGGACTAATATCAGTATGCTACATGGGATCTTCTCATCTTATTATATCTTATCTTTACCTTCAGTGCACACTGTTTCTCCAGGGTGCCCAGGAAGCCCATATATTCCTACATCCCCTGAAAGCAAAGAAACAGACATAAAGCCTTCTAAAGTCAAAGTACATAAATATGTGTCAAAATCAAACGATGATAAGAAGTTATATTCTTTACAACATTCTTGTGGTGAACTCATAATATTTTTGACCTGATTCACCAGGACGTCCAGGCAGTCCAGGAATTCCAGGTCGCCCACGTAGTCCAGGCACTCCTTGTGTCCCAGAAACTCCTCGATCTCCTTTCTCACCTTTAAGACCAGGAGGACCTGGAAACTGAGTGTAGGTGATGCGGGCCGACAGGCACAAGATGCACAAAAAAAGAAGTGGGCTCATCTTCTCAGTGAAGAACTGAAATGATAATTAAAAATATATGTAATGTACGTTTTTCCCAGATTTACCTTGGTTTGACTGATTCAATGTGTAACAAAAATGAAATCTGATCATTCAAAACAGAGATTGTATTAAATATTGTGATTGTAGCTCCGAGGGATTTTCTAGGTATATGTTTAGAATGTCAAGCAATACTTCAAACAATATGTAACACTCATGATAACATTAAATTTAGTAGAATAAAGCAGTAAGCAGGAAAGTACTTACAATATAAATGAAGAGCAGTCTGTTGGGTGTACTGCCTCACTGCTAATGTCCCAACAAAATAACTGAGATATTAGGTAGAACTAATGTAAGATGGATCGTTCTCTCCAAAGTAAACAACAGCTACAAAATCCCATTTGGGATAGAAAAAAATGTCAGAATGTAGAATCCTCCCTCTTGTGCTGAAGCACAACCTACTTTCCAGATTGATATTTTTTCTGCACTCTTTATTTCCCCACCACAAATAAAGCATAGTTTAAGACAAAAAACAGTCTTTCTTCAGGTATTTGTGCAGACAAACTTCAGTGTGAAACAAAGTATGGTGACACAGAGCATAGTTTTCATGCAATAGAAATACCACACTCACAAAATGTATGTTTCTGAAAAGTATAAATACTTGGCTTGGGTCTGTTTTGAACATTTAAAACTTCAAACATGTTGAACTTAGTGTAGCAAAGACATTGACAGAGACATATGGGGCCAAGTTGATGATAAAGATTACTAAATGAGCGTCAGATTTCCAGTTTTGGAAACAATGCAACAGTCGTCAACTTGTTGCGAACAATTAACTTAACTCGTTGTTAAGACAAATAGGCTTGTTGTGTTTTAATTGCTCATTTGTTTCATAATTTCTTTATCAGTGCATTAAAAATGTCTACGATAATATGTTTCTAAAGTGAATTGCATCTCCAAGGTGGTCCCTGAGAATTGTTGCACAGACAGCAAATCCAAATCCATGTATAGTAATTATGCACAGGGAGACATTATGAATCCAGATAAACAGTAAAATCTTTACTTGTGTCAAAATTTGTGACAGGCACAAGAGACAGAAAAAAGCAGCTCTTAATGCATCCGTTTAACTGTTAGTAATAATTATTGCTTTATTGAAGTTTTGAAAATATCTTTGGTTAAGTAACTGTTTTTGAGAACCCGTTAGAGTCAAAATTTTGTTGCTTCTGGAGTCCAAAAGTCTTCTACTTATAGCCTTTTTATGTGTGTCCAGACTATTCGTTGACATTCTTTAAAATTACACTTTTGTCTCATTGCATGTTTGCAACACCTTTTAAATTACTGCTAACTTATGGTCACCGCTGGCTATTCTCTTGGGAAGCAGGGTTGCTTCCGATTCCATTGGAATCTTTTAATAATGACTTGAGTACGGAATTATATATTGGTTAAAAGTGGCATATGAGGGAAAACATATCATCACTAAAATTTAATTTCACTGGCACAGGCATTCATTCCCACTTGCACAATTAAATTCTTTGAAAGTGTCCAACAGCGCTCCAGCTGATTCATGCTGTCACAGTTAGTTCTGATCTCAAAGCTGAATTCTGCTCGCTAAAATCAATCTGATCTAACTACTTGCTAAACAGACCTGTTGAGTCAGGATAAAAATGGCAAAAGGGTGATTTACACAAGCACTCCTATGTGTGTCCGTGCTCTCTGCGGTAGAGTATCACTTCCTAGGGATGGGCAAATTAAGCTTTCTGAAGCATTGAAGTACTGCAAAACGGTTCATTACTCAAAGCTTTTCAACACAGTTATCTTTGGTGACATCTGGTGGCCAAAAGAGCAGCTTGAATCTACAATTTATAATGAACAGCTTTATGATTGACCACTTTACAGCTGAACTGACAGCTTCTGTTTGATCATGTGATAGTTCTGTCTGATAACGGGATGATATGGTGCTTCGGACATGAATTTTATTTATTTTTTATGTTATGTCTATTTTAATAATAAATGTGTATTTAAGTCCTCTGTTTACCTCCGTCCGTTCTTGTGATCGCCCTCATTCCTCACCATGTGTTCCACACACTTGCTTAGGTCACACATTTCTCAGTTTGGTTTTTGTATTGTTTAGTTTAGTTCAGCTGCCTTTTTTTGACTTCCTTTTCACCCAAATGAGTCTCCATTTGGGTCTATCCCTGCCTGCTTCACACGGCTATTCACAAGAGTATTTGGTTCCAAATATGTTAGGGTTTAGAATTTCAACTTCAGACATTGTACCTCACAGAATCTTTGACATTATTATGTGACTAAATGTCAATCTGTGAACAACTATTAACATCCTCTCCAAGATCCAACTTTAGGAGACATTTTTTTCTATCGGTGTGACAAATTACAACAGGACAAATGGGTGATTATTGATTAGTGTGCTGAAAAGTCTGACTGACTGACAGTCTGACAACTTAATTTCCAGTTAGAAAAATGGAGGCTATAGATTTTATTCTGAGTGGATTATAAATCTCCATTGTAATCACTGTCTCCATCTTTATATATTGATGACTGAATGATTAAGTGTTTGTGTTAAAAATAAAAAATAACGAACTAATGGGATGTCAGTATTTGTAAAACTATAAACATCTACTAATTAGTTTTCTGCAGCTTGTGTTTTAAAGAGCAAGGTGCAGATGTGATGCAGAAGTGGTTTCCACTTTATGAAAGAGGAAATTAATTGGTGTCTCACAGTTAGCTTCCCTGCAATAACAATAATAATAATTATGTCTCTGCTATAACTGACAAATGCACTCAAGGAGGCATTTCAGTGTAACTTGCCAGGTGCTATTTTCTGACAGCATGGTGCAGCCTGTATCTCCCCATTTGGCAAAGGTCAGAGGTTGGTTTTTCATGTTAACCTCAAAATTCCCCTCTGTCATGTTATTTCTGACATTGATTTAAGCTGCTGTGCAAACATCCCCCACACCCTTTGGTCAATGCGCTGTTCTCCTGCTCACTCTGGGACACAGCCAGCTCAAGCGTTGATGCGTGTAGAGTTCTTATTTCTGGACTACAAGGCGAAGGAAACTCTATCCTTGCAAGAGTATTTCTGACCAACTCTTTGGACAAACTTGTAGCTTGTAGCTGAAGAAAAAAGAAATCAAACAATGAACCAAATTTAAGAACAATTTATTAAGCAAATTTATCATTTCTGTGCATTTGTCATTTTTTAGACTCACACACACGAACAGAAACTTTTTTGTTTCTCACGTTGATCCAGGCCTTTTTGTAAATATATCCAAAAACTTGATTTAGTATGATGTTCTCTTCCTCATTCTTGTGCAAAGTCAGCTCTGTGACGTGTTTGTAAAAACTGCTTTATTTCATCTTTTTCATCCCTAACAGTGGACAAAACATGTGGAAGAAAAGTCACATGGCGCCTGAAATTACCCTTTTATGTGACCAAGGGAGCAGAATGTGGCTACTTCATAGCTTAAATAGTGGTCTTGGTGACTTGCTCGCATTTACCAAAAAACAAACTGTATATGTTCCTCTGAGTTCGGTGTAAAGTTTCTTGAGTCAAAAGTGAAAATAATATGGACCATTTCAAAGTGGTGGCATAAACATAGTAAAGTCGAAGAAAAAAACAGCATGACACAAAAATATATACAGGGAGTGCAGAATTATTAGGCAAATGAGTATTTTGTCCACATCATCCTCTTCATGCATGTTGTCTTACTCCAAGCTGTATAGGCTCAAAAGCCTACTACCAATTAAGCATATTAGGTGATGTGCATCTCTGTAATGAGAAGGGGTGTGGTCTAATGACATCAACACCCTATATCAGGTGTGCATAATTATTAGGCAACTTCCTTTCCTTTGGCAAAATGGGTCAAAAGAAGGACTTGACAGGCTCAGAAAAGTCAAAAATAGTGAGATATCTTGCAGAGGGATGCAGCAGTCTCAAAATTGCAAAGCTTCTGAAGCGTGATCATCGAACAATCAAGCGTTTCATTCAAAATAGTCAACAGGGTCGCAAGAAGCGTGTGGAAAAACCAAGGCGCAAAATAACTGCCTATGAACTGAGAAAAGTCAAGCGTGCAGCTGCCAAGATGCCACTTGCCACCAGTTTGGCCATATTTCAGAGCTGCAACATCACTGGAGTGCCCAAAAGCACAAGGTGTGCAATACTCAGGTACAGGAAGAAGTCTGCATCCTTCACGAAAAACATGATTTTCATGCAGGACAATGCTCCATCACACGCGTCCAAGTACTCCACAGCGTGGCTGGCAAGAAAGGGTATAAAAGAAGAAAAACTAATGACATGGCCACCTTGTTCACCTGATCTGAACCCCATTGAGAACCTGTGGTCCATCATCAAATGTGAGATTTACAAGGAGGGAAAACAGAACACCTCTCTGAACAGTGTCTGGGAGGTTGTGGTTGCTGCTGCACACAATGTTGATGGTGAACAGATCAAAACACTGACAGAATCCATGGATGGCAGGCTTTTGAGTGTCCTTGCAAAGAAAGGTGGCTATATTGGTCGCTGATTTGTTTTTGTTTTGTTTTTGAATGTCAGAAATGTATATTTGTGAATGTGGAGATGTTATATTGGTTTCACTGGTAAAAATAAATAATTGAAATGGGTATATATTTGTTTTTTGTTAAGTTGCCTAATAATTATGCACAGTAATAGTCACCTGCACACACAGATATCCCCCTAAAATAGCTAAAACTAAAAACAAACTAAAAACTACTTCCAAAAACATTCAGCTTTGATATTAATGAGTTTTTTGGGTTCATTGAGAACATAGTTGTTGTTCAATAATAACATTATTCCTCAAAAATACAACTTGCCTAATAATTCTGCACTCCCTGTAAAAGTTGCATTCTGTCATTGGGCATACCCATGGGTCCGAGTACATCTCCTAAAAAACGACCTTGCACTGTAATCCCTCCTCCACCAAATTTACACTTTGCACAATGCAGTCAGACAAATGCCATTGTCTTGGCATCTGCCAAACACAGACTCTCCCACCCATCAGATGGAGAAGCATGATTTGTCACTCTAGAGAAAATGTCTCCACTGCTCCACAGTCCAGTAGCAGCAGGCTTTACACAACAGCATCCGACACTTTGCATTGTGCTTGGTGATGTAAGGATGCGCTGCTCAGCCATGGAAACCCATTCCATGAAGCTCTCTACATACTGATCTTGAGCTAATCTGAAGGCCACATGAAGTTTGGAGGTCTGTAGCAATTGACTCTGAGTTGCTGTCATTGCAAATACTTCTTCTTTGTTACAATACCATTAACAGTTGACTGTGGAATATTTAGTTAGGTAATATTCTATCATGATACCACACCGGAAGTCACTGAGCTCCTGAGAGCAACCCATTCTTTCATAATTGTTTGTATAAGCAGTCTACAGCCTAGCTGTCTGACTTTATACACTTGTTGCCATGGAAGTGATTGATCCAGTGATTTGGATGGGTGAGGGAATACTTTTAGCAATGTAGTGTATTTATGAATATGCTTAGGCAAAAGTAAATATTTTGTAAAACAAAAGCTGAAAGATTTAGCATTAACAGATGATTTAGATGAACTGATGTAAATTAAACATAAAAGGTATCATGTCTGAATAAGAAACATAAGGATCATTTTGATCTTTTTTCATTGCTTCCTCACTTTTGGCATTACATAATTTTAGTTGCCATCACACACAAGAAGGCTGAAACAGAGTTAGATTAAGCATGCAAAGCTGAAAATACACATATACACATAAATGTGGGATTTGTGTTTGTTTGTTTTGGGAGTTTTTTTGCAGTTCTCATGAGACATTTCTATAACTGACAAATGATGTGGACATTGAGAGAACATTCATGTGTCACTTGCCAGGAACCGTTTTCTGACAGCATTGTGCAGCCTGTATCCTCAATGGATTTGTCTGGCTGCCCTTCTCCCCAATTTTTAAAGGTCAAAGGTTGATTTTTCATGTCAGTTTTAAACTCCCCCTCAGCTTTTTTATTGTTCACATTGATCCAGGCTTTGGCTCTGAATTTGCCATGAACTTGAGTCAGTGCGTTGTTCTCCTCTGCGTTCTGTGGCAACGCCAGCTCTAAACCACGTTGGCTGCAAAACACTACAGCCTCTGAGAAACTGCCTCTGTGCTTGTTGGAGACAAAGTATTTTTGATCAACTATTTGGACAAAATCATAGTTTACAGCTGAAAAAAAGCACAGAAAAGTAAAATTAGAAAAAAGACATTTACTTGTAGGCAATCTTAAGGATATGTTTTCTGGCAAAATAATTGTTGCCTTTTCTAAAGCTTATCTAAAGATTCTTATTCAGTTAAATTTTATTTTACTAATATACCATGAATTGTCTCAAAAAAGAAACTTGGATTTTGAAGTAAAACCTCTAAATATGAGAATTTTATTAACGTTAATCAATAATATGTTCTTTACAGCTACTGCATTGCCATTGGAAAATTATTTTGTTACTGTTTGTCAATATAGTTTTTACAGTGTTGACTTCAGGTTATTGTTGTTGCAAACTGGTGGTATTTTAATAAAATAAAAATAAAAACTGACTATGTAGTCTTTTCTTTATCAATTTAAAGAATGCTGTTTATTATACTATTATTGATTACAATAGTGACGTGACCTCTTAGCTTCATTCAGTGACAGCAAATCTTTGCGTTAATCTGAACAAAATAATACAAATAGGCATCAATTTGAGTCCTGACTACAGCTGCTGGTCATCTGCAAGCTACTTTGCAACCCACTACCACACCAGTCCCTTCTGTGGCTGACAACAACATCTTGACTATTGTTACTTATGTCTGGTTTGCTTTAAATTGTAGGTGGGGGTGGTCTTAATACAGTTTTCTCCATTGAAGAGTCCTGTGTATGTAATAGTGAGGCCAAACTCCCCAGAACAGAGATATACCATCAAATTTAAAATACAGCAGAAATAACAGCTGTCTATTATGCTATAAAATAGCAGTTATGTATTTGAAACAAATGAATATGGATAAGATACTTACCAAGTTTAAACTTGGCAATTCTCTTCATTAGCTTTTCAGTGTCGCTTTGAAAAGAGCCAATAGGATCTGGACAAAACACATTAGAGTTAACAAAGTGTGTATTTATTCATTTGCATATTTAGTTATCCGTCTTTTTCCACGTCTCTCAAAACTGTAAAATAATTATGAAAACATAAGGGACATCTCACAATACAATGCATCTGGTGCTAAACCTGGTTCAGTATATACTAAAAGTTTTGTCTGCATAAAGGTTTTGTCATGGAGTCCCGGGACTCAGTGATTTTGGGTTTGGTGTATAATTATTATTATTATTATTATTATTATTATTATTATTATTATTATTATTATTGATGTTCTAGCTTTGGGATGATTTGTGTTCTGGTGCTGGGATTCTGGGTTGGTACTCCCTCTGTTGGTCCCTGGTGTTAGTGTTTCCTCTGTCTCGTCTGGTTAATCAGGTCCAGCTGTGTCTCCCACCTGTGTGTGTGTGATTTCCCAGTGTCCCTCTGTGTGTTTTTATGTTGTGTAAACTCATGTGCTCATGACTGGTCCGTCTGTGTTCGTCTCCTGGAAAACTGTCTGTGAATCCACTGTGTCCTCTCCCTGCTGTCCCCCTTCGTGTTCAGGATTGCCGTTAAATTACGTTTCTCCCAGTTTATGGTAAATGGCCTGCATTTGTATAGCGCTTTTCTAGTCCCTAAGGACCCCAAAGCGCTTCACACTACATTCAGTCATTCACCCATTCACACACACATTCACACACTGGCACTTCACAGTTAGATTACCCTTAGTTCTGTTTTTGTAATGCCGTCTTTGTGTTTGCCTTTTGCAATAAACCTCCCTCACAACTCAGTAAGTGCCTGCATTTGAGTCCTCTTTGTGGGATGTGTGGGAGCTGCAGCCCTGACAGGTTTACCAGACATACTTTGTATTAGATGGGAGCTTGACTTCCCTAATAAGCTAAACCATAGTGAATTGTGATTCAACTCCCAAAACCATTATCCTTTCAGAAACCTAACCAATTAAGTTTAGAGACTAAACCTAGAGAAAAACTGAGAAAGTAAAATTAAAACTAAAACAAAAGAAAGATCAAATATAAGGAGAAAAAATGGTCTCAAAATGGAGTCAAGACAAACACCACCAACCTTCTTTGTTTTTAAGATTTTTGGTTTTCACTAGAAACTTAAAAGAGCATATTTTATGGGAATGTAGTTTTCATGTGTTGTATATTTATGGTTAAACTGCTATTAGTTGTTCCCTTATTCACAAGTTGTCAACACAGTAGGTAGCCCTGCATGTTTTTTGCCTTAGATGCCCTCCCTGACACAACCCCAAAGGGTTTTAAGTTACACAGGATTGAATTCAGATATGACTTGTTAGGTAAATGTATAAACCACAACACCATAGAGCCACTATTAAAGTGTGTGTCTGTGAAGTTCCCTCTGGAATCAATAAAGTTATTCTTATGTTCTAACCTCGTCCACACATTATAATAGTTCCAGGTGGGCCAGGCTGTCCAGGTTTTCCGATTCGTCCATTAGGTCCTGGAAATCCAGGTAGTCCTTGACGCCCTTGAGCCCCTAAAGTGAAGATATAAACACATCAAATAAGATGTGAAGTTCATACCAATGTTTCCAGTTTCTGGTTTTCCAGAGAAAAAAATTTACCCTGTTGTTGTTTATAAATGTCATCCATATAAGGTGGGGAAAATGATCATGTACACAACACAACAATGTGAAAAAACCCATGTTGGAGTCAAATTGTTAAATGTTGCCAATATTGTACTTAAATTTGTAAGTCTTGGTTCAAACTATGTGATCAAAGGTTACAAGGATTTTTTCCCCTTAATAATAAACCCCTTTATTAAGAAACTGCATTTTGTATTTACTTGTTTTATCTTTGTCTAATATTCAAATTTGTTTGATGATCGGGAACATTTAAGTGTGACAAACATACAAAAAAAATATGAAATCAGGAACGCAGGAAACACTTTTTCAAACCAGTGTAGCTCTTACGCTAAGGAAGTTATGAGGGCTTACTTTTTCCCAAATATATTGTAGATATATTGATCCAGAACGTGGGCCAAATTCAAATCCGAACACATCACCACTTACTGTCACGGTCCTGGCTCGGTGACCCAGTGTTTTGTGTTGTTTATTATTAGAAGTCTGTTTTTTGTAATGTTTTTGAGGCTTCCCATGTTATTATATTTAGCTTCACCCAGTTTAAGTTTTTATAGCATTTTTAGTTCTTCCCTTCATTAGTTGTTTTGCAGTCTTTTGTAGAGCCTCTAATAAAGGCTGGCTTTCAGATTAAAAGTTCTCTTGCATCTGTGTCTGCGTTTGAGTCCACATTATCTTATCTCCAGTTCGATCACACCTGGGGCACACATGTCAACAGAATCTAACTGAAAGAAACCTACATACATAACATACACAACACAAGTGACTATAGCAATAAACTAGGAAACTAACACTGACATGGAGACTGAGACACACAAACTTGACGTAGACAAGGGAAAATTACATGGAGACATGACTGACAGGGTAAACAAGGCAAACTACAGAGACAGGGCACAGAGGGACCAAAGAGACACGGGGACTCAACTGTGGAGAAAGAAGGTGAATAAACATAGAAGCAAGACCGACAATATACACGGGACACTAGGGAAGACACACAGATGCTAGACTAAGAAAACATGGGCTCAAAAGCGAACTAAGAACTAAGAACTAAATGCATAAATAATTAAAATAGGAAGCACTGGGAAATACTAGACACAAAAGACTAAACAATGTAGAACTATAAAGAAATCACATAAACCTCAAAACAACATTCAACAGTCCAAAATCAAAAAAGCAAATACCCAGAACCATGTGAGGCACAAATATGTTAGACCATGAAGTAATTTCCAGGAAAATCTGTTTTTTTTTTAAATTGAAGTATTTGTTGAACTACTGCTTAAAAATTTTAAAAACCTATAAAAAGTCCTGTACAATACACTTGGCATTATGGGGTTAAAAATAACCCTCCCTGAGAGTGTATTTGGGGGGGTGGTTTATCACACTCACCAGGTTCTCCTTTCAAGCCTTTCTGTCCTTGTTTTCCAGGTTCTCCATATGCCCCGGGTTCTCCAGGTGACCCAGGTGGGCCTTTAGGACCAGGAGGACCAAAAGGCTGACTGTAGCCCACAGGAGCCATGAGGTAGAAGGTTATGACAAAAACAAATGGCTTCATCTTCTTTATGCAACTCTGAAATGTGACATGTTGGAAATTATTTTCTAATGAAAATCTTCTTCAATTTTTATGATAATTTAAATAAATGAAATCAAAGAAAACTAACAGTTTGTTTGGTTGCAGGTTGTCAGCTGAATAGAAAAAACTGTACTTTTTAGAGACAAATACTCACAGTTTAAATGACGAATGATATGGATGTGATCCTTCTTTGCAGCTTCCAAACAGAAGTGGCAAAGAAAAAAAGTCAAAGTCAGATATATAAGACATGCAGCCCAGCTATAATGAGAGACAGGTGGAAAAAAAACAGAGTCTGCCTCTGGTGTCATAATCGAGAGTTCACTTACAACCGATGCCTTTTAAAAGCTTTTCCTTCCACTCACAAAAGGCAAACCACTGTGATCAGTTAAACGTGAATAATCAAAAGGCCTGCATTCCTAGATCTGAAATATAGCAGGGTTTAGATTAAAGATAAATAGAATCTGATCAGTAATGTTGGTTCGGTATTGGTGAAAGATTTTCTTATTTACAGTTTATGTTAGTGTTCTGATCATAATTCCAATTGACATTTAGTAAATATGACCAAGCAGTAATTTCACAGTTATTAGAAAGGATAGCCAGATGCAGATGATGTAATTTTTTTAAACTGAATTTTTATAAATGTAAATTGCAAAGTTATTCAGTTATGTTAGTGTCAAATTGTATTAAAATGAAAATAAAATAGAAACTCACCATTATACGTAAGTAGTTATCGTCTAGTTGTGCTGCTTCATGTACAGCTTTAAAACAATTTCAGAACCCAAAGTCAAAAATATCTGACACTCTTTGGAGAGGAAATAAAAACCAGGTGAGTATTTTGTTGGACACAGAAAAGAGGGGGAGGGGGAGGCGGGAGTATGAGGCCCAAAGCCTGCCTCTTTTTAGCTAAAACACTCTGAGAAAGACAAATATGTGTATCATGAAACAAATTGTAGTTCAAACTTTACTATTTTATTATATTAAACCACAAAGAACACAGACTTATCTTTGATGAAACATGTATTTTACATAACTGTATAAGTCCAGGTCATGGTAATCTGAGGAGCTTGGAAAGAAAAACCATACGACTGTTTTAAATTTCTTGAAGACATTTTGTCTCTCATCCAAGAAGCTTCATTAAGTCTGAGACCAAATGGTGGAGACTCCCAGGATTTTAAGCGCTAGTGGGAGTTTTCCTTCAAGAAGGTTGTTGAGCCATTATTGATCATGTTCCTCATCACGTGTGCCAAGGTTTGAAAAAGAGTGTGGGTCATTATTATCAGAGTTTTCAGGTGAAACCACTGTGAGACCTTGCCTCACCCTATCATGTGACTTACTGAGATCAACTGACACAAGATGTGAGTGGGCATTAAGGCACCTGAGAAGGGATCTCAAAACTGGATTATAGATGATAGACAGTTGGTGTCTGTGACACAAAGGACCCAGAAGTACACACTGTTAACAGGCTGATTACATTTTATTTGCCACTTTTTAAATAATTCCGATCAGCTTTCAGCTGACATGTTCATGGTGCAGCCTTTTTCTCTCCTGTCGCAGCTGGTAACTGAAATAGCACGACTGATCACACCAACCAGTCCCAGCTGGTCTGCCAGCCTTCTGGCACTGCTCACCGGACACACTGCCCTACCAGTCCTTTGCAGCAGAGCTGCAGACCACACCCCTGCCACATACCTCCAGCACCCAACTAAGGCCAGAGAGCCATCCGGGCAACCCTACCACCCACGAGAGGGAGAGGAAATCAGCCATGACCACCTTGAAATGAAAAGACTGGAGAGCGAGATACCACTGGGTGATTAAGTTGATCCCAGTGGGGATTCAAGATGGCGTCTGTGTGTGTGGCTTGCCATCAGCTGTTACCTGTTTTGATTCTACTAACCCTGCTTATATCGGTTTTTCTCAACAATGTCTCTACTCTTTTGGTGTATGATTTCCAATCGCTATTAACCATCCGAGCCACTGTTGATGGGCAGTATCATATGGCCCCAGGAGGTGAGGATTACCGAGTCCCACCTGTGGTAGAAACTGTACCACTGTTTCTCTGCCGTTATCCACCTAGCCTTCCCCTCAGGAAGAAATCCTACAGAAGGCAAGGGAAACGGGGTGGAATACTGGTAAAACTCAGAAACTGCGTTGCTACTTACACGGCAGCCTCGGACATCAAGTTGTTCACCTCCTGGAATCGGCACCCGTTCCCGATTCCAGGGAGCATTCCAGAGAAGATATCCAGCATTCCAGGGAAAATATCCAGCTTCCACGGTATCCTTCCCCACGTCTTCGCAGGGGTGAAGTGGATTACCAGAATCTTCGCCCTCTGGATCGATCATTCGAGCCCACGGTGAATACTACATTAGCTAAACTGGCCCTGGTTAATGCCAGGTCGTTGGCTAAAAAGTCATCCTGAATGACTTTTTCACCACTCGCAATTTGGACTTTCTCCTGGTGACTGAAACGTGGCTCACCTTGGGTGACTTTACCTCGTTTTCTGAACTTTCTGCTACTACCTCAATTCACCCCGAACCACGGGCCGGGGCGGCATATTAGCCACTGTTTATAAAAACTGTTTATAAAAACTGTTTCAACTGTCGTCAGTTACCAGCAGACGCCTACAGCAGCTTTAAACTGCAGTTATTTGAAATTTGTTTGTCTACTCTTGTGCCATGGGCGCTAGTGTATCGACCTCCGAAATATAATAAGGACTTCATACAAGACTTTTCTGAATTATTGACAAGAATTTTACCAAGTTATGACAGTATTTTAATTGTGGGGGATTTTAACATTCACGTTTGCTGCCCAAACACTCCACTGGCCAATGACTTTTTTAATTTGGTAGATTCTTTTAATCTTGTTCAGTCAGTTAACGGCCCAACATGTGAACGTGGTCATACTTTGGATTTGGTCCTATCTTGTGGCCTGTCACGTCTTGACATTGAAATCTGTCACATAATTTTTTCTGACCACATACCTGTAGTATTTGAGTTTCCTCTCTTAGGTCAGCCCATCAAATCAGATGTGCCTAAATACAGATCTCATATGATTAACTCAAATACTTCAGATCGCTTGGCTTGTTTGTATAAAAATTTAAATCTTGCATTACTTGCAAATAGGCCCACCCATTTAACTATTGACAGCCTACTCTCGCTTTACACTTTAACCCAACTTGTTTGGAAGTACTTGATTCTATTGCTCCTTTCACCACTAGGTATCTAAAACCCAAAACTCAACCATAGTTGAATAATGATACAAGAAAACATAGACAAGTCGGCAGAAAAACAGAACGAAAGTGGAAAAAACACTGATTACAGGTATCATTTGAGACTCAGAGAATCCTTGTCAAATTACCAGAAAGCCGTTAAAGCAGCAAAAACAATGTATTTTTCTAGGATTGTGTCCAATAATTATCATCAACCTCATATTTTATTTGGCAGCGAAAATCTTCTGAAATTCTTCGTTAAAAAAATTGTAGATATCAGGTCTCACATTATTCTTCCTACTTTTGACCCATCTAATCACTCTCCAACTTTTGCCTCTTTTGATTATTTTGAGCCAGTGTCCTTTTCATTACTTAATGAAATAGTTAATAACTTGAAACCCTCAAAATGTTCCTTGGATATCATTCCACCTAGATTGCTGAAAGATGTGTTTGACACGGTTGGTATGTGTTTGCATTCCATTGTAAACGGCAGTCTTCAGTCTGGGTCTGTTCCCCCTGACTTTAAACATGCAGTGGTGGAACCTATCCTTAAAAAGCAGAACCTGGACCCAACTGTTCTATCAAATTATAGACCAATCTCCAAATTGCCTTTTCCGTCAAAAGTTCTGGAGAAAGTTGTCCTCCTCCAGTTCCAGACCTTTTTAGATAATCACGGCATTGGTGAAGTATTCCAGTCTGGTTTTAAAACGCATCATAGCACTGAAACTACTCTTTTAAAAGTTTCTAATGACCTTTGAACTTTTACAGACTTGGGGGATTCTGCCATTTTAATATTACTAGATCTCAGTACTGCTTTTGATACGGTGGATCATAGGATTCTTATCTCTCGACTGGAACAATATGCTGGTATTAAAGGGACTACATTGCAATGGTTTAAATCTTACCTATCTAATTGATCCTTCTCTGACACATTATCCCCCAAGGACCTCGCACTTTTGTGGGGTCCCTCAGAGATCTATTCTTGGCCTGGTTATCTTCTCAATTTGCATGCTTCCTTTGGGCGCTATTTCTGAAAAATATGGTATCTCCTTTCACTGTTATGCAGATGATTTACAGATCTACCTCCCACTGAAACGCAAATCTGCTAACCCTTTGAAGACACTGTTCGATTGTCTGGAAGACGTTAAGGCATGTGTAGCCGGATGGGCTACTGGCCCTTCTTTTTCTCTCTCTCTCGCTCGCTCTACCACCCTCGCTCTCTTTCCGCTGCACTCGCTACTTGTATCATGTGATTGGGTTAATTAGGAACCCACCTGCATATTGATTACAGGGTGGTGTTTACCTGTATAAAGGGAAGCCGGTTTTTTTGTTGGATCATTCCTCCCGAGCTTCTGGTGCGATACAGCAGTAAATGCTGGCCTATTGGTTAATTCACCGATACAATCGGATTGTGTGACTGCTACAGGTAGGCCTCCTTTCGACCTCTTCCTCTCAAAAGTCGGTAACTAGTAGTCATAATTCTGCGGCCCGCTACAGCGCGGCTGTTTCTCTTTCTTTACTCCAGCTGTGGTGGAGAGACGCATGAGTTGCGTTCACCGTACAGTACAGCGCCTCCAGTCTTGGGTTAAGCCGCTTATATTATAGCTGCTAGTATTTGTAAATTAGAGACGATTAAGGTTATCTTTGCCTTTTTGTTTGTTTGTAGGGTTTGATTGCTGCCGCACCTTCTCAGGGACCAACTGCCTGATTTTTAAGCAAAGAGTCGAGACGCCTGCCTAGCTGCTGTCTTGTC